TTACTTATTATTGTTTAATATTATTATTATTATTAATGTGAATATTATCTTTATATAACAAGTTCGTTAACATTATATTATTATATAATTTTGATTTAAAAATATATACGCTATAAACAATTTCCATGACACGATCGAATTGTTTTTTTTTTTTTTTTAGAAAAATCATTCTGTAATGTTATAAAAATTCAAATTTAGTGCTTTTCCAACTCACAACATGGCGGCGAGTTATGTGACCGGGAACCCAGTACATCAAAGGTGCCGACGCTCAGTGTCCATACTGTATGTACTTATGCTACAGTATATACAGTAGCGTAACTCTCCTGATTTTATGTTGGCCAAAATGAAGTGTCAAATAAGTAAGTTGTCTTGTCTTTTTTCCTCCTTTTTTATTCTCTCTCTTTTTCTCTCTATTTAAATAAGCGTTCCAATGTTCCACTTAAACATTTGTCTTTTAAGCATACATGATTCAGAATAGAAATTTAGAGGGAAGTATTACATGTATTGTCTATTTGGTGAAATGTTGGTGAGAAATCTCGAGAAATTGCTCTAATTTTTGTGAAACAAGTGATAAAGTGAAAAACTGAACAAAAAGGAACACAGAAAGTCGATTAAAAAGGATTTCTTTTTATTTATTGTATTTTAAACTTATTTTTTGGACATATATGTATATAAATTTCTTTTATATCAGCTTTATAACATTTTCATAGATATATATTGTAATTACATAATACAAATATACATTTTCTTTATACAAATATACATTTTTAAGTTAATTTAATATTTTTCCTTAATTTTTCTATATTTTTTCTTTATTTTTCAATATATTTACAATTTATTTTTATTAATTTTCATAAAGTTTAAATTATATCATCGCAATATTAGGTTTATTCGCGTCGCATGCTCTAATATGCCCCAATATATTCTTACAATAGCACTTACTCACTTCAACGAATTCGTTGGATTGCGATGTGAATAAATCTAGTGAGTTTTGCGAGGAATTTTGACAGAGTAAAAAAAAGATGAAAAGAAAAAGAAGTTTAGGTGATAACCGTGGTAACGCTAGGTAACTTACTTATTTCACGCATGCGCACTTCATTTTGGCTTAACACTAACATCAAAAGTGCCCACAGAGAGTTGCGCTATTGTATATACTGTGCTTATACTGTGACTGCAGCGTAAGATGAAAAGAGATAGTACGATTTTTCTTTCTCGTACAATTTCGATGAAAAATGGCGGCCACTTCAGATGGCCACTGGACAGACTCTGATTAGAGGGTCTCTAGCACACTTTATTTCGTTCTTTGACTATAAATATATAGCCTACTAGTCCCTTATTTTTGGTGTAGGAAATTTGTATACTCTCGAGCTGTTTCAAAATTTACTGCCATTACTAAAAATCTGTAGTGTATGTGACGTAAACTATAGATTTTTAGTACTGACAGTAAATTTTATTGCCACTACTGAAAATCTATACTGTATGTGATATACATTATAGATTTTTAGTACTAGCAGTAAATTTGGGAACACAACCTCAGTGTCGCCAAACTGAAGTTGACTGAAGATTGGTTGCGTTCAGCAGAGAAAGCTAATCAGTTAGCGCTTAGTGATTCTTTAATACGATTGGTTTCTATACTTAGATTTAGCAAAGAACTAAAGACAAGAACCAATAGAAATAGGAACAGTAAAGACTGGCAAGTTCAAATGCGAAAATTATCATGCTTACATTATACACGCACTGTTACTGACCATTCTTCTTCTTCTTCTGTTTTCTCCTTATTCGATTTTCCGACTCAAGTCACAGAGTCACAGTACCATGCAAATTAATGGATTTTAAAATCTTTTGAATAGTCTCCTCGGGGAACAGAGATCTTTACTGACCGTTGCACACTGTATACTATAGTCAAAGATCCCCACTCCCATAGAAAATTACTGTCCGGGACAAAGCCAAAATCCGGATCTACAATAGGTATTTTAAGTTTTAAGCTGTAAGAAATTGACTACCTACAATTGAATGCAAGAAGAATAAGTGATTGTGATTCGTCTATTCCTTATAGCTTAAAGCTTAAAAATCTATTGTAGATCCGGAGTAATCCTCCAGCTTAGTGACACGTCTGAAGTTGGTTACTGGCAGTCCATATGTTTATAGGCTGTGATCAAAGTCTTGTTATAAATGCTTTGAAGCATTCAATGGACTAATTACAAGAATTTTACTGACCAATTAAAAAACGCTTCAAAGCGTATAGCATCGCGTACCACCGACAAGATACTATTAAAGACCGACATCCTTATAGAAGTTCGCGTCCTTGTGAATATTGAAGTGATTAAGAGTTAAAAACTGATAATATTGTACTAATTTTATGATTTATTAGTTTAATAGACGTATTTATGCATTTATAACTCAATAATACTTGATTTTTCTTTAAAATTGTTATTTCAGTGTTATCGTTAAAGTTTGATTATCAACAGAGAGATGATAACTGCAGAGAAAAAATTGTAATTTTTCTGCAATATATAGAATATACAAGTATGCATATTTATTTATGTAAAAAATCATGAATTTAATAATATATGAGCCAAATATTTTTATTGTTAATAATAGCAAATTTATATCAATTGTCGATAATGTCAACATTCTTCAATTACTTCCGGATCCTTTTTATACCGCCAAAAATTTGCCCAGCGTTGACGGTCTTTAATAGTATCTCGATGATATTACTAATTACAAAATATAATATATAAATAAGTAAAATAATAGTAATAAAGTAAATAATAGTCAATAATTAAAATGAAGATAACAAATTTATCGGTTCAAGGTAAATTTGTTATATGAAAATTGACACGTACGTGTGACTGCGTATATCATAGGTGATACACGCAGTCACACGTTGCGTGAGATATGCTGTGGTAATATAAAAAGATATCGATGTTGTCGATGTGCGGCACACGGCGCGACTTCTGATGATTTCGTTGGAGTTTGAGGACTTTGCTTTAGGATCTCCTTAAATCCAAAGGAAGTAGTGTAATCTGATATTGTGAAAAAAGGCTAATCAATCTATTCAAAACTGTCAGAAGGAATATTTTAATAAATAAAATAGAAAAGAAATAAAATAGAAAAGTAGGCTTACTGTGTTTTCAACATCAGATTGGATTTATCGAAGCATTCAATTATGTCTGAACATATAAAACGTAATCGTACATTCGACCGGGATAATATAGAAATATTAGACTTAGAACGTAATTACCATAAGAGAATCATTTCCGAAATGACGTCTTTAGACAGAAACAAAATAATAATAGTATAAATTATCAAAAAGACACGGAGATGCTTCATGATTCCTATTTGAACATACTTGACTTATTGAAAGAAAAATTTTGCGTTTATCGATCTATCTTATACATTTATACTTATATCATTTACCTATTTTATACACGTAACGTTGAACAAGCCTTTCTCAGAAAGCATCAATAATAATAAAAGACCATTTAAAATGCTCCGCACAATAAATTTAAGCATTTTTGATCATCAAAATTCATATTAAGCCTATGACTTTTTGCTTTTCTATTTTATTTTATTAGAATATTTTAAAATATATATATTTAAAATATTTTTTCTGATTATTTTAATAGATTGACTCACCTTTTTTATAATATTTGATTACGGATTGTACATTATTTCCTTTGGACTTGACAGAATTCTCGTCTCGATGAATTTGTTATTATATTTTAACTATTGACGTACTTATTATTTAATACTTAAATATAAGCATATTCAAGCCTATAACGATCAAAGCTAGATCTTCTAAATACCTAAATAATTCACAGTGAATTATCTAGTCTATATCTTATATATGTACATGCATATATATCACTTTTGTAGTTATTTAAACTGCACGCCGAAATTTTTCCGGACTTTATCAAACACAATATTTGTGTGCAATAAATTTATTTAAAGTTTTTCAGCACATTAACACCCTTATATGATATCGGATTGAAGATTGAGAATTTGCTTGTCAATTTAACTTGTGATATTATTGCAGTAATTTAATTGCGTTTGATAAAGTCCGGAAAAATTAATAAAATCTTATTATTGTTTATTATTTAACTTATTTATATATTTTGTAATTAATAGTATATGACATGGTCTCTTATTACACTTTTGTTCTGTTGCATTAACTTATTGTTAGAATATTAAGTGCGATCTCTATAATAGAATAATTTACATATAATGGTTTTGACTTTACTTTTGTTTAGAATTGATGAAAACCAAATAAAGGTCAAAAACGTTTTTTCACTACAATATATGAATCATTCACATTATTATTTATATTACGTCTATTATTTACTTTTATTCCTTTTTGAGCTTCTTTTGTCTTTTAATTGTTCTTTCTGTTAACACACTTGAAAAATTTGCCTAACATTTTTTTATGAAATAAAATAATATCTTAAGAGCAATATCATGGACAAAATTATATATTTTTATGACTAATTTACATAACATAATTGTCTGACAATATAAATTCGGCAATCTTTAATGGAATCACGAATCTGTCAGGATTCTGTTCGAGCAGACAAGCCAGTAGACGCGGAACGGAGAGAACAGTGCCTGATATTATGGTAGGGAATTCCCTGCCAGTGGATGTTTGATAGGCAATCAGTAATCTCTTGCTGAAATAATCACCATATGTAGATACGTGACCGATCTCAATGTATCGGTTCATGAATGGCGACCACATCTCGAAAGATACGCGCATTTCCTCAGAAGATTGCAACTCGGATGCGGGTCGCATGACGACGCGATAATGATCGCACAGATCGTCGTACAATCTGCATACAATCTCCAAAAGTTCTTCGAACAAAATTTTGTATTGCTCGCTCTTTGCGTCTTTTACCATGATGAAGGAGTGTGCAACGGAAGCCTGGCATACGGTGAATAAGCCATAAGTGTGCGAATCTTGCGGTGATGGTATATACTGTCTGCCCGTGGCAAAATACTTGAGCGGGAAATTCTTGGGATTTATCAGCTGCTTTGTATGCAATGCCAGGAAAGAGGCCAAGCTTGCGCCACCGACCAGATGCATGCGATTTGGCGAACCTCTCTCGACTTCGTTATGATTCTCTATCACAAAAGTGGTCATAGGATCCTCGTGATTTAAACCGCAAGCCTCTACCACAAAACTGCGGCTGAAATCAGTACCGACTATCTTAATCATGTTGTTTTCGCCAAGAATTCGGCCTACGTGTGCCAGTATAGCAAGCTCGAACAAAGCCGCGTCATTGCTTAGGAAATAACACATAGGATTCTTGTATTCTAGCAGGTCTAGACTAGTCCCAACGTCGAGGTGACTTCTCTTCTTTTCCGATATTTCTGGCAAGTTGCCAACACTCTTCAGTATCACCGGTTCGCCGACAGGCGTTCTAGGATCCAACTCGTTCGGTAATTTCAAGACCTTTTCTATTACATCTTCATCTAAGTCCCACATCGCTTCCTTCATCGTCTTTAAATCTTGTCTTATGATCTTGAGCTGTGTGCGCAACTTGAGCATCTCTTGTTCCTGCTCAGCAGTATGCTCGACGTTTTCCAGTAGAGTTCTCATGCGATCCGTCAGTTTCTTGTTATTGTTTTCTAATGCATATCTGTCCGCAACCATCTTTGTATAGAAATCCCACGCTTCCTTCAATAGAACGATGTCTACATCCATCCCGCGCAATGCGAGATTTTTCTGTAATTTGTCTATATTGGCGAATCTCTCATCGAAGTCTAAATATGGCGACAGATACGCAAACGATTTGTAAGCCTTATTACCGGAAATGTACAGTGCTGAACTATAATCTCTCTCAAAGTTTAGTGGGTGGGCAGTCCTTAGACGAACATCACATATCAAAGTTCTGTATGTACGCTTTAAAGCGTAAGTAAATCTATACAAATTATTAATCATTACAATTTTCTAATTTAAATTTGTTCTCTTCTTTCTTGCATCGCACTAAAGATATAACAATTCGAAATGAATTGTAAGGTAACTCTATTCGTTTATTTTCATTACTTTAGCATCTGACGCAGTATTTATGTCCAGATCTTCCTGTGTTATGGTTTCAATCTTTCGTTTTTGCGGCGTGATGTAACTTCCTTTGCCTGCTGCTCTTTCCGATTCTTGGATAGTATACGGCTCTAATTCGAGCGCTTTCATTCGTCGTTTATGCCCTTTAGTATTGAAGTGAGTATGCAGAGCAGTTTTGTCTATAAAATACCTCCTAAAATCAAATTAAGTTTTTATTGTTAAATGTAAAACAATAAGCAATGCTGATATGAGCCAACATAGGATGTTCAAGTATAATTTAAACGCAATTTATTAAGAAAGTAAATACATGTATACATTTTGGTTCGGGTCCTCGATACAATTAATCATACGATACAAATTATTCGAAAAAACTTATGAAAGAAAATACTCTAATACATGGATTAATGGTCAAACTATTAGATGTCCACTTGTCGAATTTTTGTCATCAAATTGTTCAATTTGCTATACAAGAATTACAATTAGATTTTTATAATTACATCGGAGAATCACAATTTTATGAAAAAATAATATTACTTACATGAAGTCAAAGAGTTGTGCAAACCATGCATAACGTAATTATTTGTTAAATTGTCTGATTTACCATTAAAAAACAAATTGTGAGAAATTTGGTCAATATTCTCAAAAACCTTTTTTTTTTTACATTTATATACTATATTTCCCTAGTTTCTCGTACACGATTCTTTTCAAGAATAGAGGCTTTGATGTTCTGTGAAGTTCTAGAACAGTTCTGTCCAAAGATTTGTAATTCTGCATGACATAATCATGTAATTCATCTCACATAATTCTGAGCATTAGCTTGTATTCACACATATTCCTTTCTTAATTCTCTGGAGCTGATGGTGGATTTATTAGGCTATGTGATTAGGCTGGTGATTGTTTGAATACCAAATATTCAAATAAAAGTAAAAATAATTTAACTTAATGTGTGAAGTACTTAATATAAGTACTTAATATAAGTGTTAAGATAAAAATTGCATTATATTCGAATTTACTATTAGTTTTTAATTCTTGTCTATCTACATATTGTATTATTGTAGCAATTACTATTTTACACAAAAATATCAAACAATTCAATTTTTTATTGTAGCTGCAAATTTTGATTATTTTTACTAAAATAAACTTGGTATTTATTCTTTTTTTATGCAAGTTATATCATTTTGATTCTTCGAAATAAATTGTCTTTTAATTAATCCTTCTGTGAATGCACAGTTTAATTTTTATCTTCACTGAGAAAAAAATGTACTAAATTTTAACAATATTCGAATAGTGCCAGATGAATATTTACTAAATGTAAACATATAGTTACCTGGTACAAGAACCATTAATTTGATTTGCTTATTATTATATTTTATTTAATAAGTACTTATTTTCCATAAATAAATGTTATATTAGTACTATTCAATTTATTAAAATTTAGTACATTTTTTTCTGTTCCCACTAGTAATCAGTGTTTTCACAAGGTGATCCTGCTAAATATGAAATGCAAAAATGATGAGAAATTGTAAAGTGCATCTATGCAAAACTATTCTTTATTATAAAATTCTTTGGATTTTTGTTCCAGATTTAATGGTGTACAAAATTTCGTGTATACCGTTTATACACTCACTGAAAAAGGAGGTTCAATGGTTCTATTATAACATTTATAACGTCGCCATCTTGTGAGATGAAAATAAAAAAAAAAATTTTTTTGTACTTTCAAAACTTTATATATTAAAGCCTTTCAAAACGATTTTTTGATTGATTTTATTAGTTTACTGCAAAAAATTGTCAAATTTAAATATTATTTTTAAGCCTCAAAGGTGGTATCCCCCCTTAAATTTTTATTCTACTATAACGCCGCCATCTTGTGAGATGAAAACAATTTTTTTGTACTCTCAAAACTTTATATATTAAAACCCTTCAAAACGATTTTTGATTGACTTTATTAGTTTACTGCAAAAAGTTGCCAATTTAAGTATTATTTTGAAGTCTCAAAGGTGGTATCCCCCCTTAAAGAAACTTGCCAATGTGAGCTTACACAAGATGTTCAGTGTGATAAGAATGATTAATGTATTCAAAAATATAATAAAATTACGTACACATTTCGACATCAATATTGTGTCCTCTTCAAAGTGTAAAAAATACGTAATCTTCTAGTATACATTGAATTCATTATATACATGTGTTGTCAAACGTGTAAAATACATCGTTAAACTGTAATTTTGTCAAGACTGTAATCTTCATCTGTCGTACAGAACATCGTTAATCTGTTTCTCAATGACTTTCGTAGTAGTTCGAATATCCGAGATACGACAGATAAAGATTACAGACAAAAATTACAGCTTAACGATGTACACTTTTAACAACACATATCTAATGAATTCAATGTATACTGGAAGATTATATATTTTTTTACTTTGAAAAGGACACAATAGTGATGTCAAAACGTCTGTAATTATATTTTTGAATACATTAATCATTGTTATGATTAATGAATATCTTGTGTAGACTCACATTGGCAAGTTTCCTTAAGTTTTTATTGTTAAAGGAGCCTTATTGTATGAGCCTTTTTAATTTACTTTATTGGCATTAATTTCGAAAAGTTAATGAAAATACGAAAGGAAGGCAACAGACACTGACACAGCTTTGAGTTCAAAATTACAAATCTTACAGTATTACTTCAGAACGTCTAGTATTTGTACATGCTCAATTTTTTTTTCCAATATAATCCCTCGGATGAGGTATTTTCTACCTATAGCTACATCCTTAAAACTATTCTACAATGCTGTTTGTTTCTTGCTTTTTACCTTTTGCTTTTTTCTCGTTTCTAACCGTTTTATTGACAATTGTATTTTTTGTTTCTTTCAAAGTTCGTTAACTTTTATGTCGGGCGACATAAATAAAAAAACCGATAAGAAACAAGAAGACAAGATGTAAAAAATAGCAAAAAACAAGAAACAGGAAACAAAAAGCACATCAGTAGAATAGGCTTTAAGTAATATAGCGCAAAGTAAAAATTGAATCAATATATTTCTTATATAAATTCTCTTTTCCATTCAGATTTCTTCATACAAAAAAATTTCTTATTAACAAGTCTCTTTTAATCCAGCCCGATCTATACAGCATGCAAAATACAGGTCGCAGATCACAAGTGAAATATACAGGGTATTAGTTAGGTATGTTGCCATATTCAATAGAGCGATTCTTTTTCTTGGTTTTCAAGTAAAAAAGGCCATATAAACATGTGTCCTAAACGGCTTAGTTTCCAAAATACAGGTGAATGTTCACAAATGTTTGACGAAATGGTAAATTGCGTTCGAGATATCTTTCTGCCTTGCTTCGTATGAGTTACCATTCGCACAACTGTGAACAAAGTAACAAAGTCAAAGCCTCCTAGATCATCAGACTTAAATCCTTTGAATTGTTTCCTTTGAATTGTCCCCATTCTTATTATAAAACCGTCCTCAACTAATGTCTCGAGACAACTCTCTGAGTGTCTTGGTTTATCATATTTTAAGACTGTACCTCTGAGACAGAATCCCATATCTGATAAGAATCGACTATGAATACTGGCCTATAACTCTCTTCGCTGGATCTGCATGTGTATCAGAGATCGCGAAATGTTTGACCTTTGACTCAACGGAAGTATCTGAAATCATTGGTTTATATCATCCCAATTGAGAATGAGAATGATTTGAGGAACCGAATAGTTGCTTCATGTGAGGCAATACATAACATACTTACTATCTTTGAGCATGTTCGTCAATCTTTGAGAAGAAGGTTTGATAGATGTATCATAGCGCAAGGCAGACATTTTCAACAATTCATCTAATTGTTTTATTTCATCAGAAGAACTAAAACCTTTTTGTTTTTCTGTTTTTGACTAGTTCAAGCTGTATTTCTTTCAAATAAATAGATTATTACTACTCGTTTAAATTTTTTTATTTCGGAAACTAAGCCCTTTAGGACACATGTTTATATGGACTTTTTTATTTGAAATAAACCAAAAAATTGCACTGTTGAGTATGGCAACATACTTAACTAACACCCTGTATTTCAAATTATAATAGGGCACAAGCCACAATACGCAGGATATAGGACGCAGATCACAAAAGTACAACTTCATTCAATCTTCTGCGTTCTGCATTCCTGCGTTCTGTAGCCCATTATATTCATCGACATATATAGATCTTGAGTCGATCGTGCAAAGCATGTATTCGACGGCCTATGGGTATTCAATTTGATGTAATTGTGGAGTCTAACCTCTTCGTCTTAAATTTTGGTAAAATTAGTCCCATTCAATGCGTTTTTGCACGAAATGAACAAATCTGACAAAAAAGCGACAATTTTTTTTGCCAGATTCGTTTATTTTGTGCAAAAATGCGTTAAACGGGTCTAATTTTATCAAAATTAGAAATAAAGAGGTTAAACTCAACAATTATCGATTTGAATTTTTAGGTTAGACTTATATTGTGAACTTACGCGCAATGCACGCAATAATACTGGGCCGCTCCTGGCTTATCGAAATCTACTTCCTGGTTTAACAGTTTCCTCGCGTTCTCTTCCTTCAGATCCTCGTCAATCTAGAAACAATCACGTATTATTTGTCGAAGCGATGATCGCAAGACGTGAAAAACAGGACAGGCCGACCATGTGTCGAGAAGGTTATGTTTAGACAAACTGATGCGGTTCACCTCGTCCAAGTCCTTTGTTCTCCGTTTCGTTTTCCAATTCTTCTTCAAATGCATGTCACCTCTGTGAGTCTTTTTACGTTTGTACGTCATCGTTTTATATTTATAAAAATTACCCCGTCGAGCTCGGCCACGCAACTATGTGCATGACATAAAAAAAACAACTGAGGTCGATTTGGATGTTTATGCGCTTCAAGCGCTTGTAATCATCATTATGTCTTTATTAGACGTAAAATATGGGACTCCACACAATAAAAGAAACAGAGAACAGAATAAGAATTTCAACTTATCAGAAACCATGTATTGTGGAATACACAGTTTCTGATATGTTGAAATTCTTATTCTCTGTTCCCTGTTCCTTTTATTATGCGGAGCCTCTAAAAATAAAAGTACTGAAAAGCACTGAAAACATCCAAATTGAGCGCATTCAGCGGACTTAACAGTTGAGTGAAAGCTCGCTGTTATTGATGTATTCTTCTAAATCTAAAATTCTGGATTGGATGAGCTAAAAGAATACACCAATAACAATGAGCGCTCACTCAACTGTTGAATCCGCTGAATGCGCCCATTGACAGCAGCCAAGGTGTATTCAACCGAGAATGCATAGTAAGAAAGTGAATTGAAGCCAAAATTTGATTGGCTATTTTAATATACTAGCACTATTATATGCAGGAAAGTGTATAGAGAAAAATTTGATTGGTTATTTCCAATATTGCTATCGCTATTGGGTGCACTCAGTACTACACCGCTCACTGAAGCTCAGTGAGCTCTTATATCTAATTGGTGTATATTTTTAAATCTAATAAATTATGCAAGTATGCCAATCAGATGCAAGCGCTCACTAAGCGCTCAGTTATAGTACTGGCTACATTCAGTACTTTTAAATAAGGTACAAATTACAAAAGTGAGCAAATTAATTAGAGTATTCATAATTTAATTGATCAATACCTAGTAACCTTTGCTCACTTTTGTAATTTTCATTTCCTTTCAAAATCCACAATCGAATCCCAGCGGATTCAACAGTTGAGTGAGTGCTCGCTGTTATTGGTGTATTCTTTTAGTTTATTTAATCAGAATTTTAGATTTAAAAGAATACATCAATAACAGTGAGCGCTCACTCAACTGTTGAGTCCGCTGAACGCAGCCACTGAATGCATCCATTATGCGCAATGGTACAGTCGGAGCCTAAAAAGTTGCAACACTTTTTTTCGAATGGGTTTTGGAATGTAACTTATTCATCGAGCGATTGGCTTTTATTCATGGGTCCATAAGTAAGAACCAATCGCTTGGGGAGCAAGCTACATTCCGAAATCCATCGAAAAGAAAGTGTTGCGACCTTTTAGATCCTGAGGGTGCAATTACATGAAGCGCAGTACGCGGTATGTGGTATAGTAACTAATAGTATCTAACTAGGCAACTAGGAAACCGCGTATCACGCACCGCCTATTTTTTCGCTGATATTACATGGAACGCAGAAGCTAGTAGTAACAAACTCACATTACTATACACCGCTATGCATTTTAGAATGGAATTAATTGATTTAAACGCAATTATTAAGTAAATCTTAAAAATAAGAGTATCAATAAAGTATGCATTAAAATAAGTTAATACAATATATTAAAAAAAATTCAGACTAATATGAGTTTGTCACTAGCTCGTGCCGCAAACCGCGCGCAAACTGCGCTTCAAGTAATATGAGCGAAAGAAATAGGTGGTACATGGTACACGGTTGCCTAGTTGCCTAGTTATTATTAATTATTGTACCGCGTACCGCGCTCCATGTAATCGCACCCTGAAGGTTTAAACACAATAGACACAGGCAATAGATACAGGCAACAGGGAATAACGAGCCGTCCAATCAGAACTCTGGAATATAATATCGAACTTACACACCAAAGTTCTAATTGGATAATTCATTTTTCCCTGTTGCCTGTGCTTATTGCCTGTGCCTATTGTGTTTAAGCCTTGACTGTACTTTTGGCTATGTTCCAAGTTCCAAGGGTACGTTCCAAAACGTCTTCTCCGAAGAAAATTTTATTTTATATACTATAGTATACGTGTACTATATATTTCGAGTAAATTTTTTTCTGAGAGGAAGTTTTGAAACATAGTCCAAAATTAACTGTCAATAATCTGCTAAAAATCTATAGTGCATGTAACGTAAACTGTAACATTTTTAGTGCTGGCAGTAAATTTGGAACACAACCCTTGTATTCTTATATCGTAACCAGGTGCACGTGAGAATCATGAAAAAACCGAAAAATTTGTAAAGTTCAGAAGCCTTATTCTTGAAAAATATTGCATACAAAAAACGAAGGAAATACTACAGTATTTCTCTACATTATAGTATTTCCCTAGTCTTTCGTATGCAATACTTTTCAAGAATAGGAGCCTAATTTTACAACTCAGGATTAAGGGTGCTTTTTTATGCTGACGCTTGATACTCATTTTCAGCATTAAAACAAATCACGTGACCAAATTGTATACCAAATATCAATTCTGATCACGTGACCTGTTTTGACGCTGAAAATGAGCATCGAGCGTCAACATGAAAAAGCACCCTAAGGGCCGGTTTATAATAAGCCGTAACCGTTAACTTAGACCAGTGCCATAAAAGGAAGAAAATCCGTATTATCATATATTTAGAATAGCTAACAAAAATTTATTTATTTTGGCCGTAACCGAAAAGTTGACTTAACTTTATCTTTACCGGCCTACAAGTACGGACAAATATGGAAAAAGTACAAAAGAATGGAAAAGTGCAAAATACCAAGGAATTCAAAAGAACTTTTCTTTTAACTTATTCAAGAAAGATTTAAAATCAAAAGAAATAAAAATAAACGACTGATTTGATTTTCTGGGTCGAATAATTTCAACATTTATAAAATATCTTTTTTCTTTCCTTTTCTATTTATTAGACGTACACTCCAACGGCGTTTTTTCTGATTTTTTTATTTAACGGTGCGTCTGCATATACAATACACATGCTAGCTCCAGAATTAACAGGAACATTCTATACACTGCCATGTCGGTCAAATCCATATTTATTATTAAGTTTAAAATTTATTTATATTGTTAACGATTTTCAGGACTATAACGCGGCCATAACAGCAAAGTACCGACTATTATAAACCGCTTCTTAACAGATTGCGATAACGGCTACTACGGCTATGGAAAGCAAATTATGGTTATTATTAAATATGGTTATTATAAACTAACCTTAAAGGTAAATTTTTGCGACTAAAAACTACTCAAACCGGCTATTTTAGTGACAAGACAATCATATGGTCATCATTCGTCAATTTTGACGTGATCCTTTGTATTGCTGAAACAGCCGGTTTGAGCAGCTTATAAAAATTTACCTTTTAACCGAGAAAAAATACTAACGTTCATCGATTTGGGATCTTGCTCGGAATAATGTGTGGGATCCTTTTTCTCAGGCATCGAATCGTCCTGGAAGAAGAAAGCACACATTAGTCAAAGAGAAGTAAAAAGCCTAGAGAAAAAAACTACAAAACAGAAGCAGCCCCTATAACGAAACGAAACCACTCCCTCTTCATTCTTTCTCATCATTCTCTATTTTTTTCAACACTCTCACATTGTAACGATAGAAACGTTAGAAATTTTATTTATTCTACATCTTTTTCTAATGCTAGAATTAGAAAGAGATGAGAAATAAGTTAAACTCAATGACATATATATATAGATCAAGCATTGCCATGCTTTTTAATGGTAAAGGTTTAAAGGTTGAAGCCGAAAATTGACAATTTGAGCACAAGAATTAAAGAGAAACCTGAGAGAGGACGTGATGGTTCAAAACCTGTAATCGCAAAATGTTGTCGCGCATTACTGTCACCTGACAAAGTGGATGTAAACTACATAGCAAGATCCACTTTTCTGAGGATACATACCCACATAGCAATGTATTTCCTTAGGATATTCTAATTTGATCAGATTGATCCCATTCTGATCCAAAACATTAAATCATCCATATGATGACTTAGAACACACATTTATAACTTAGGATATTTATAATTATCATTGTATTAATATAAAACGTCTCCAGAATATTCTATTTTGATTAAAAAAAAATTTGATCATTATATTGATAAAATGCATATTTCAACTTTCGACACATATATGTCATATTTATGTATTTTACGTATATTATAGAGACATATCTTTGCAATTTAATTGTTTTAAATGCATATATAAATATCTCACACAGCCATACTGAAAACTAAACCTTCAGGAAGAATTTAATTTATTTTTATATTATTACATATATATATAATTTGGCGGTTGTAACTGTATATCCACACAGCAATGGAAATTGTGGGATATACTGAAATTATCGTAGAAGTATATCTCAACATCTTTAAGATATCATCAGTTTATTATAATGACTAAATCATGAATATACTTCATATAAGACATATTCAGGAAATATTTTATCTCGAATCAACTAAATGTGTACAATACATCTTAGGGTCAGTTGTTTCACCTTTTGGTAAATTTTACCTATTGGGTAAGTAGCAAGATTACCTAATCACATGCGTGGATTACCAGATTTACCTCACAGGTACAATTTATTAAAAGATGAGACAATTGGCCCTTAGAGATATTCTATAAAGACATCTGAAACAGATAGAATATCTTCCAGTCGTTTCTAAGATGTCTCTTATATAGAACTTATGGAATTATTGTACATATAAGGGCATAATTAAGAAAATTATCTTTCAGATGATTTATAATTAAGTTTTACTTAAGATTGTCTCAAATTTATTTTCAGATACCGTATAGATCGTCTTACTCCGCAAACACAATAGCCCTAATAGCACAATATAAATAATGATAAACAATAATTTCGATCGAAAAAAAAGAGAATAAATACCTGTTCTCTGCAGGAATGTATATAAATTAATTGTTATAACAAAACTAAACGCTGTTAAAAAAAAACATTCTCTTTTCAGAGTCGTCACTGGTCGTTGTTTACCTGAAAAATACAGGCAATAGGGACAAGGAATAAGAAATTTCAGTCTATCAGTAACTGTGTACTCTGTGTAAAATGCATGTTTTCTGATATAAGTACTAAATCTATTATTTCCTAATTACAAATAAATGCCGAGCGCAGTTATTATATAATGTGAATATAACAATAATATATAGATTTTATAAATTTTACATAATATATAATATATAATATATAATGTAATGGTTATCTACCTTCGACATAATATCTG